AGTAATGGCGAACTCAAGGTATATGATACTATAAATTCGTTTACTTTCTTTGTAATCGCTTTTGCTAACCTTAATCGTGCAAATGTTTTGAATTAGAGTGAAACATTTCGTGATCTTTTTAAACAGTAAGTAATTTTTACGCGCGGCTCCACTCACAGGTCACAACAATGAAATATGCCATCCTATTTTAATATATTATAATTAATTGTATTAGCGAGTTACTCTCGCTCTCTACTTAGTCCCTACTTACGTTTTAACAATGTAACTGAATGTTTTAACAATGTAATTGAATGGATTTCTCAGAGATAATATATTTTAACACAGTAAAAAGTGCCCTATATGGTGTCCCGGATAACCAGCTATCATCATACTTTTCATAAAAATCTCTGCAGTGGTTTTCCTTGATGCAGTCACAGACAGACAGATACACAAAAATTAATATGTCTATTTCAAAAATAATAATGTCTATTTCAATAAGATTTTCCAAATAATATTTAGTTTACAAATTCGGCTTAGTATTATAATAATGTACCTACTTATAGATTAATAGGTAGGTATATACCCTTTGTAAGAATCGTCAATTTCGAAATTCAACCGTTAGACAAACAACCAGTAAAATCACGCAAACTTGTTTGGCAGCGCATTTTTTCGTTTTAATTCACTCGGACTTCTTTTAAAAATTAAAACCTTACATAATATGTCTTTTCTTTTAAAAGATATACCTATTTTTTACTTTATTTTCATTTTACACAAACTTCAATAACAAATCGTTCTAATAATGTCATCTATTGACATTATTATTTTTTATATTTAACTAATTCTTCTTTGTTCCAGATGAGACCTCATGATACCTTAAAACCAATGAAGTAGGTAGGTATTTATGGGTACTTTGTGCACGATTTGAATGAAAGTTTGTACATATACGTTCTAGCGCCTCTCATTATTAACATTCTACTCATTTTAGCTGAACAGAGCGATGCATTATAATCATTACTAAGATACGATATAGCGACCGACCGTTTTGCTTATAGAATACGATATAAGGCAAAGAGGAAAACTCTTAAATTATAACGTACCTACTCACATTAACGTTTTGTTTAATGCATATTATTTGCATTTAGATACTTACAAAATTCATTTGTGGAAATTTTCATTATTTTTTTACCTAATGCATACAATATGCGTTTCACGTAGTAGGACTGCTTTAGAGCCAAAGCTGTAATTTAAGATTTAGGAAAATTATTATTTCTCCCTACGATCGTTTTTACGTTCTATTTTTAGAATGTTATATATTGTAACAACCCATAGTAAGTATCAAATTCCAGAACGAAACGTATAAGTAAGGTAAATAATTCTACTTATTGTAGAAAACAGAATTATTTTTTCCTTAATTCATAGAACATATAAAATTTAGATAGTTTCGATTGAAGTTTTAAAATTTTCTTGGCACTGGCAATATTTTTATGATGCAAAACGGGATATTTCGGCACTACAGATTCACACTAACATCCTTGAGTAGGTAGATATTTAAACTCTAGTAAGTAAGTATGTGATAAGAACACGTCCAGAGCAACGAACATTTTTACTCTAGGGAGGTCCAGAGGGTATAGCAGAAAAATGGTTACAAAATAAAGACTATATAGGTACGCAGCTTCGACGATATCGTAATTATAAACACTAAAATAATGGAGTGGTTTCTCAAGATACCTAGACGGAATCGGAATTTTTGTAATATTTAAAAAAAATAAAAATATGGTGAAAAGGATAAAGTGGCTAGCATTCTTAACCATTTTCAGTGAAGACCAACTTTTCCTATGCTCTTAGGCTTAGCGACTTACGTAAGGGCACTTTTTATTAACATTCACCCTTAGATTATTTATATGTCTAGATAGACAGTCGAAGCAGAAAACGCGTCGAAAAAAATAGTGTCCAACTGCTGGCCACAACGTACTTTCCCCGCGTTCAGTATCAGTCCTAGTATAATTACCAATGTACTCTGTGAGTATCAGTCACGCCGTCACTGGATACGCTCGAGTTTGTTTGTAAAATTCTCTTGCTTACAATGACGGTTTGTGTGATTAAACTGTGCAGAAATTACAAAGAACGATCTAAAAGAACAAAAAAAGTTACTTTTCATCGCTAAGTTTATTTCGTGTCAGTTCCAGCAAATTAATCCATTGAAATATTTCGAAATCTAATAATTATTTCTTTGTGCCATTTTGTGTTTGACGCGTGTGTTGCTAGCTTATGAACCCAAAAATACCATTCATAAAGATTAGAAATAGATTTAACGTTGACGTCGATTTTAACCGACTTCAAATAAAAAAGTAATTTAATATTAATAAAATATATATATTTTTTTATAATATTTTTATATTACCTATATAAAGTAAATGAATATCTAATAAGTTGATATGACAAGGTATGAACTCTAATTATAGTTAAAATGGAAATATTTCATTAGGTATCTACGAGTGTAGTAAATGAAAACCCGCGCAAAAACGCATATGCATATAAGCATGTTTTTATTATTTTTCTATCCACATAAATCTTAACTTTATATATTCCAACTTTTATCAAAATTGACCCAGAAGTTTTAAAAAATAATAATTAGTAGGTATGTTTTTATGTAAAGAATGAAAATGACCTCAGTTCCGACCCTAGAGATATTGGTATTATTTTTGTTTTATGCCAATTTAATTTTTATTTAATTTTTTTATTTTGTTGGGATATTTTCAACAACTGATAACATTATGCACACACACTAAGAAAGCTACTAATGACTTATGGCGAGTGTAAGACGTAGCTGTCACGCACACTATCATAATAAAGTTGGCTTGTTTGTTTTAGTTCTTTTGTAGCGCGACACTATATATAGTAGGGGAGCCCAAGAGGGGATTTTCTGTAGTTACTCAAGCGCGGCAGATTAACATAAAAGAGGTTACCTTGCACTCTATTGAGTACTTTCACCACAATATAAGTCTTCTATATAAAGGGGCGCGTCTAGGGAAGCCGATTAAAATATTTAAAAAATGTTTTGATAAGGTAGAAATACTTGAAACCGTCAGATTAAGGTGTGGTAGGCTAGTCACATCCTGAAAAGTGTCCAATTCAATAATCTGCCGATTTGCACAAGCCGAAGACGCAAAAATCATCATAAACTTTATAGTCGATCCCTTTATATAGAAGACTTATATTGTGGTGAAAGTACTCAATAGAGTGCAAGGTAACCTCTTTTATGTTAATCTGCCGCGCTTGAGTAACTACAAAAATCCCCTCTTGGGCTCCCCTACCACTAGACATATTAATAATCTAAGCATTCACCAAACATTTTAGTGTAAATGACTATGGTGCTTGCAACAGTGTCAAAAATTTTAAATTCATAAAAATAAGTAAAAGTACTTAAATATCGCATTTCCCATCATAAAAATGATGGTAGGTATTTCAATGTTTAAATAAATAAAACAAAGATTATAAATATAATGGTATATTATAAAACGTAATTTATAAGAAGTGTTGATTTTCGTAAATGCTCTAACAGAGTTAGCTGTCAAAAAGACATAAATGTTGCGAATATTGAGTATTTTCCGTAAAAATGAGGGTATATGTAAGAAGCCCTCTCTGTACCTATATTAAAAAGTGTCCGTCAAAATGCGTTCAATAAAGGTGACGCTGCGGTAGCGTAGAATAAATTTTAAAGAAAACGAAAAAAGTAAAGGGAACGATTTCTTAAAAGGAGGACGCTATGAGTATGATCTATTTACAATCAGTCTTAGGTTAAGCAATTTATTATGATATCTCTTTTGTACCTGGTTTTTGCTTCATATGCTTTATGCTTTGCAATAAAGTAGGAAGTTAGACTTAAGTTATTTCTTGTACTTGGAAGTTAGACCAGCTGAAGGAAGATTTGATAAGGAGAGGCGCATCCTGCGGTGGTCCTGACTGACTGATGGATCAAAATCCATTGTTAGCCTAAACCGCTGGTCTTAGAAACGGAAAATTTGGAGGACGTATATTTATATTATATAGACCTTATATGATGTAGACATTCGGTAAGAAAGGATTTCATCTCCTAAGTAGGTAAAATATGGGACTAAAGATTGTATAAACTCTGTCATTATTAATGTGAAATACACAGAAAGTGGTGTTTAGCATTATGATAGAAATAAGAAATACGAGTATATTCTTTGGATTTTTTTGAAATTTATCCCATAAAGGGGTAAAAGGAGGTAAGTCTTTTCCCATATAAATTTATATGGGCAAAGAACTATTTATGATCAGAATTACTTGAAATTTGGTAATAATGCTCTTCAATACAATTAAATAAATATATGTTTTAGAATTTTTCGAAATTCCATAAGGGGGTAAAATGGGTGATGAAAGTTTGTACGAAACTCTGTAATTAATATATAAAAAAGTACAAAAAACACCTTTAGACATTTTAAGAGTTTTAAAATCACTTTCTTTGAAACGATGTCCACATAGCTTTAAATATAAACATTGTGATTTCGCAAATTTTGGACGTCTTTTTGCTTTAGCCCACAATTTCTTCAGTTTTTGTCTCTTGGAAACAAATGATATCCATTTTCTTTGCATCGTGGCAGTGCACAATTTGTCATTTTAATTAAATTTTAAATAAAATAAAAAAAAGTCCATCCACGCTATAGAGCTTGGCAATATACTGAGGGATATAGTGATCGAGACATCTGGCGGGATAAAAAGGCAAAATTCTTTCCCATTAGCCAAACAATACAAGGCTATCCCAGTATATATCTATACTCTTTGCTACTATAGCTGACCATATATGGGTTTATTTATGGGTAATTATAATAAGACCTGGCAAGTGGCAACATTGGTTATTGGTAGTTGGTACTTGGTAGTTGGTACTGTAATTTTTGACATTTAAAATCCTGAACGTGTTCATCCTTTCCAATCTTTCATAAAACACAAATTTTATATTTTATAGATTACTTATTACAAAATTTGAATTAAATATTATTATGGATTACAATAGCCGACAACTTGCGGAAGATTATTTTCTTCGAGTGCCGGCTGACGCTCGAATAAGGTTTAAAGAATTAGACAAAATGTTGCTTATTACTAATTATGTTCTAAAATTTTGAAAATCTCTTTAATTTATTAAATTTTAGAAAACCTAAAGATGAAGTGGAAGATGATCCTCATCCTAACCTTAAGGTTGAAATGCAAACAGTTCGTCTTAACGCTGATTCACAAAAGCTTGTTTTAGAAACATTAAGGTTTATCCATGGCCCTGATTTTAAATTAGGCAGTGCTAGCTTGTATAAGGTAATGTTATTATTATATAAATAAATCTTTGTTTAAAGTTTTAATTAATTTCTTTAACATTATAGCAGGTTTGGAATCTAATTATTATGTTGAAGCATGTTGTGCAATATTTTTGTACTATGTAATTTTTAATTATTATATTATCTAAGCATTTGCGAAATAATAATTATTTAAATTAATCAAAATGTACATAAATTAATTTTTAAATAATATTATGCAATGGTATTAAAACCTTTATATCTCACCATTATTAATTTCACGTTATTGTAGCATACACATTCAATTTAAATATACCTATTGCTTTCAGGATAAAGGTTCTAATCTCAGTAATAGGTATTGGATGGAAAGAGGTAACCTAGTGGTTCGAGGTGGCTGTGATTATTCTCTTACTGCTAAACCAGATATTAAGTCCTCTGAGGCTAGATTAAGGGAATTTGCATTGTTAAAATTAGAAAAGTATGTATTAATTTAATTACTGGCCTAATTAAACTAAGATATGATGTTTAATGGTAGGATACAATGTAATTAAAACAAATATTGATTATTTCAGATATAGTTTTCATAAGGCACATTGTGCAGAAGCTTTAGAATATGCAGCAGAAAATGTTGAAAAGGCATTAGAAATTCTATTTATAAAATATTTAAATGTCACTGAAAATAAAAAACCAGAAAATGTTCCTACACAAACTGAGTTGTTAGAAATGAGAATGGATGAAAAAGCAGTACTTGAATCTATTTATGAAAACAGCTTTAAAGTTAAGGACTCTAATATATGGACAGTGACCTTAAAATTAGACTATATAACTAAATTATATAAAAACCAACAACCTCAGGTTGTTAAAAAAAAGGAAAATACAAACACAAATTTTAAAACGAAAAAGAAAGAAGCATGTAAACTGTTCTTACGAGGCTCTTGCAGGTTTGGTGCTAAATGTAAATTTTCACATGAAACAGTTGAAGTTAAAACTAGTGAAACTCAAACTAAAGATAATGAAAATATTTCTTATGAATTAGAAATAAGATTTACAGATGATACTTTATATCCTTATCAGCCCCCTTTAATATTTTTCAAATTGGGCCAAAGTACAGACTTGATACCAGAGGTTACTTGTTTAAAAGTAACTGCTAGATTGTATGAAGAAGCCAAAATATTATCTCAAGATGGTATACCAAGTATATACTCTTTAGTTGAATTATTAAATAACGAAGAAGATATAGTGAATTTTATAAAATTTGATACAAGAACATTTCCTGATGCTTCAGAAGCATTATTCCCGCAGTTGTTAGAAAACAATGATTTAGAAAAACAAAACTTACCGTCTCATTACAAAAAGGGTGCTGCTAGAGAAAATAGGGCTGATGTTAATTTTGATGAGATTTTAAAAGAAAATAGTGAATTAGCAAAATGGTGGGCGGAGAAAAGAGATAATAATAGGTATAATAAAATGATGTCAAGTAGAAGAAATCTCCCTGCATGGCAGAAGAGAAAAGAAATTTTAGACGCAATGAAAAAATCTCAGGTAATTTTACATGATTTTCTTATATTAAATCTTTATTTAAGTGATTTTATTATTCCCACATGCATTCGAAGATGCTATGCTGCACTTTGATAATGTGCTTAACTAAACCAGCCAAGTTTTGTTTTACTTGCCAAAACATTACATAGGATAATTGCACAACTCTACAAATAAAAAGTGAAAAAATGTACCTGGCATGGCTATATTGTTATCATTGATGGTCCGTAAGTTTGAATTAGTAAGTCAAAAAAAAACCATCACAAAATGAACATCTCATATTAAAAAAAATCTTTTTTGTTTTTAAACTACAAAAATCGTTATATTAGCTAATAGAGCATTATTCATACATTTTTTCATAATGCTTAGTTTTGAAATAATTCATAAAAGTAAATCTATACATGATGGATTTTTTTTACTTTCTAATTCAAACCTAGGAGCCCTCAAAGATAACGATACCACCACCTATAGCTATGCTAGTTGCATTTTTTCACTTTTTATTTGTAGTCTTGTTATATCACTTCACGGTTAATTTCTAAGAAATTAATTGTTAACCGAGCCACCTGTGGCTCGGCAGTCGTTGACAGAATATGTTGTCCAGAGTTATATATTGTTGTCCCATAAAAAAAATCACACATACTTATTGTCTATTATTCACCACTATTTATCTAAGATTGCTTACAATTTTGTGCTTATAAGTTTTCTGCTTATAAGCTTTCATGCGTAAGTTTGCTTATTTATATTAAAAAAACTTATAAATTTCAGGTAATAGTTATAAGTGGTGAAACAGGCTGTGGTAAAAGTACACAAGTACCTCAATACATATTGGACGATTGGCTAAATAATTTTAATAAGGGTAGTAGAGACCATGTAGAGATAGTTTGCACTCAGCCAAGAAGGATATCGGCCATTGGAGTGGCTGATAGGGTAGCGGAGGAAAGGGTTGAGAAAACAGGACAAGTTGTTGGGTATCAGGTGAGAAAATATCCCATAAACATGTTGTTTTAAGCCTTTTTTAAACCTTTATAATTTTTAATTTTCTTGAACTGGCCACTTTATAACGCTTTTTTATATTCTAGGGATTAAAATTTATATTTCGTTTATTCGGCTTTTTAAGCTTTTATTTTTATATCAATGATAGTTTTCTTATTTCGTTTTATTATAAATTAGTTAATATGATTTCATTTGATTATAATCTATGTTTTGCCCTCGCTGTGACTTTGCTCACTTGCTCCAGTATACAAATTAACTCTTATATGAGTTCCTCACAAATCTATTGAGTTGTAACAAACACACAACTATTATAATATATATTAATGAGACTCTTTATAATATTAATGCTATACATGTAATTTGTTTACTATCTTATATTTTCAGATAAGATTAGAAAGCAAAATATCTTCAAAGACCCGTCTAACATTTTGTACAACGGGTATATTGTTAAGACGATTAGAATATGATCCACAGTTAAAGTCTGTCACTCATATCATTGTCGATGAAGTACATGAAAGGTCTGAAGAGAGTGACTTTCTTTTACTCATTGTGAGGGATTTGATTAAAGTAAGAAAGGATTTGACAGTTGTTCTAATGAGTGCAACATTGAATGCTGATTTATTCTCTGAATACTTTAGTAAAGTGCCGGTTTTGGAAATACCAGGTATTGCTTTTGCTTTTCTTTAATATGTTTATTATATATTTAATATTTAATTATTACTTTTATTATTAGTACATAGTAGAAGTAAACCTAAGTTTTTAGTTGGTTATTACTTATTAGTTAATAATTATATTATACCATTTTATTATTATATAATACACAATGGCATAGGCAGTGGTAGCCCAATGGTAATGCGCTCGCTTAACCGAATGAAGTGGGTTCAAATCCCAGGTCTCGTACCTCTGATATTTTCATGTGCGAATCATTTCTAACATGAGTAACACTTGCTTTACGGTGAAGGAAAACATGGTGAAGAAACCTGCATGTCTGAGACAACCCGGCAAGTTTCTGAAAGACATGTGAATTCCGCCTGAACTTGGCCAACATGGTGGACTTTGGCCTGATCCCCCTCATATTGAAGGGAGGCCCGTGTCCAGCAGTGGGACGTTAAAAAAAGCTGAATAGATAGATAGAATATAAAATATACTAATATTTTTTAATAATACTGTACTATGAATTGCATGAAATACATTTATTTATGTTTTATGTTGATCATTTTTTTATATATTATTTTAGGGAGAACTTTCCCTGTCGAGCAATTATTTTTAGATGATATAATGGATATGACGAATTATGTTTTGGAAGAAAACGGACCATATGCTCGTAAAGTTAAAAAAGGTAATAATAATAGCTTAATTTTTTTATCAATGTAATGATTGTAAAAAAAATATTTTAAAAATAAAAATATATTATGTAATTGTTTTGAAAACAAAAAATATGAAAAGAATGTGTTTGGTATAATAAAAGAGATTGTTATACTTCAGCAATGTATAGAAAAAGAACCAAACTAAACTTTATTATTAAATACTACAAGGAAAAAAGCTATTACTTTACATAAACAATGTATGAATATAATAATAAAAAATAAAATTATTTATGTATATATAAATCCATATAATGTGAATTTTTCTTAACATTATTTTTTATTATATTAAAGGGGAAAAGAAACAAGATTTTGAAACAGAGCTAGAAACGTGTGATGTTCGATCTGAAGCAACAGAGCCGCCTAAAACGAATATACGAGATGAACATCTAAATATATCACAAATGGTAGCGAGATACCCAAAGTGTAGTAAAACTGCGTGTAAAAATTTATATGTAATGGATACTGAAAAGGTTTGTAGTACCTGCAAAATGTCTATAGGTTTTTTTAATTTAGTTTTAGGAATTTAAAATTCTCCTCCAATCCTCTTGAATTCAGTTTTGGTTTCGAACGTAGTTTCGGCTATATGGCAGCCGAAACCGAAACTACGCTGTAACCCGTTCTTTTTTTGCCGAAACTAGGCTGAAACCGAAAGTTCGGTCGGACACTAAGAATTTGTTAATATTTAATTTCTTAAAAAGTAAACATGCAAACAAATTATATTTAAATTAAGTTGAAGTTGATATAATATATTTTCTTTATTTTTAGGGGAACTGTATATTGTTAATATGTACTCTTATATAGAAACGAATATTTTTAAAAGTTTTTTTTAATTTCAGATAAACTTAGATCTCATAGAACATGTCTTAACATATTTAGTAGAAGGTGACCATAATTGGCCGAGAGAAGGCGCCATATTAATATTTTTACCTGGTATTGGTGAAATTATGTCCTTATATGACCAGTTAGTTGAAAGTCATACATTTAGCCCAAAGTAAGTATGTTTGGGTGTATGGGTGTGAATTCATGTAATATATTTCATTAATGATAAATTAACATTTTTGTGCGAATGAAAAGATGTTATACCATGATTAAACTATAAAAAAGGCATCGACCTCCGTCGATAATAAAGACTATTTTAATAAGATTTTCTAAAAAATATTTCATGTACAGATTCGACTCCCTTATTTTATTATATATATAGATTGTGATATTTTCACACATATCTTCCTTATATTGGACTCAAGATGCAAAGTAATACTTGAGTATTATGCAGTAGATGATGCGTCAGGTATTAAATTCATAATTTTCATTTATTATAGTAACAATGTTTTACTATTTCTATATAATAATTAATTTGCAGAACAGGTAAATATGTTCTCGTGCCGCTTCATTCAACATTGTCCAGTGAAGAACAGTCATTAGTATTTAAGAAGCCTAAGCCCGGTGCGAGGAAGATTGTGCTATCTACGAATATAGCGGAAACCTCCGTTACAATAGATGACTGTGTCTTTGTTGTGGATTGTGGACGGATGAAGGAAAAGAGGTAAGGATTTCAAATTTACAAAAACAAAAACATATTATCCCACGGAACGGAACCGTGAATTTTTGTGGGATAAAAAGTAGCCTATGTGTTATTCTGATGTGCAAGTTATATTATTGTAAAGTTTCATTAAAATCCATTGAGTAGTTTTTGCGTGAAAGAGTAACAAACATCCAAACATATATATATATATATATATATATATATATATATATATATATCCAGACATCCATACATCTTCACAAATTTTCGGATAAATATATAGCACAGCAAGTGGGGTCGCTACAAGCCGAGTCGGCTTCTAGCGACCCCACTTGCTGTGCTAGCGGTGGCGGGTTCGAATCCCGCTGGGGACATTCATTTGTTTGATGAGCACGAATGTCTTTCCTCCTAGCTTGCTATGGAACTAGATGGTGTTGTCCCAACATATTTATTATTATTTATTGCAGGTTCGATTCAAACCGCAATATGGAGTCTCTAGACTTAGTGTGGGTATCCCGAGCTAACGCTAAACAACGTAAAGGGCGAGCGGGGCGAGTAATGCCGGGTGTTTGTATACACTTATTCACCTCGCACAGATATCAATATCATCTATTAGAACAACCTGTACCAGAAATCCATCGAGTACCCTTGGAACAATTGATTTTGAAACTTAAGATACTACCATTGTTTCAAGCTATGAGTGTGCATGATGTTTTAGGTGAGTCTTGCTAATGTTTAGTAATTTGTTTTTTTTCTCGTTTTCTTTCTGCCTTGATGATGTAGTGGCTGGCATGTATGGCTGCGAAGGTTCTGGGTTCGGGTCGTGGGTTTTGAAGTGAAACTTCTTTAGAATCGTTGTGGTTTGAAACTCGCTGAAACGAAAATGCGACACAAAAAGAGACAAACACATAGATATATATGATTAAACCGGCGAGAGAATGAGATAGAATACATTGCCATGCTGTTTTAATATTTTTTTTTCTATATTTGCCAAAGAAGTTTTACTTTAACCGCGCGTAAAGGTTACACGCATTTTTTTTGTCAATAAATTCTCATTTGCTATGGACCTGAAGCTAGCGGCCGACTAGCAGCCGGCCACCTGACGAATTAAACAAAGGGCCGCAACGGTATCGCGGCGTCAAAAACACATGTTATTAAAAATAAATACGCTACAGATGCAATTAAATATTACTTTTTAAATATTTTAAATACAATAATAGGAATGTATAGTGTTTTATATAATTTAATACCAAATTTTTAAATTCAGTAATGTTCGTGTCCGTTCTTAGCGTAAAAGGTCATTTAAGCCATGAAAAACTAGAAAGCATGCTTGAATCTTGCTGATTTTTTTACTGAAGCTTTCTATAATATGTATTTATTCAAAATTATACAAATTTTGCAGAATTAACCACTAAAAGTGTCATAAAAAAAATTATTGTTGCTATTGAGAGCGCATAATTGTAAAAACAACATTCAATTCCATAAAAACGATAGAAAGCAAAGTAGGAGCTAGTTGATTTTTTTATATATTATTGTACTTATATACACTAATAGAAAACCGTTTGAATTAGACAGGATCAAGCCGTAGTTTATTTGTAAAAAAATTTTTAATATTGCTTCCTGGCGCGTACTCATACTAATATTCAAACGTATGAAAATACGAGAAAGCAAACTCAGATCATGTTGATATTTTTACTATATATTCTTATAATATCAAGCAACTCAAAAATATTTGAATCTCGTAGGATCAAGGCATAAAATAGTTGTAAATTTTTTTTTAATATTCTCATACTCGCCTATACTAGTTTCTATCAAAAATTTAAAGTCTATGAAAACGATAGAAAGCAAACTGGGAGCTCGTTGATTTTTTTATATATTATTGTACTTATATATACTAACAGAAAACCGTTTGAATTAGACAGGATCAAGCCGTAGTTTATTTGTAAAAAAAATTTTAATATTGCTTCCTGGCGCGTACTCATACTAATATTCAAACGTATGAAAATACGAGAAAGCAAACTCAGATCATGTTGATATTTTTACTATATATTCTTTTCATATCAAGCAACTCAAAAATATTTGAATCTCGTAGGATCAAGGCATAGAATAGTTGTAAAAATTTTTTTAATATTCTCATACTCGCCTATACTAGTTTCTATTAAAAATTTAAAGTCTATGAAAACGATAGAAAGCAAACTGGGAGCTCGTTGATTTTTTTATATATTATCGTACTTATATATACTAAGCGAAAACCGTTTGAATTAGACAGGATCAAGCCTTAGTTTATTTGTAAAAAAAATTTTAATATTGCCTCCTGGCGCGTACTCATACTAACATTCAAACGTATGAAAATACAAGAAAGCAAACTCAGATCATGTTGATATTTTTATTATATATTCTTTTAATATCAAGCAACTCAAAAATATTTGAATCTCGTAGGATCAAGGCATAGAATAGTTGTAAAAAATTTTTTTATATTCTCATACTCGCCTATACTAGTTTCTATCAAAAATTTAAAGTCTATGAAAACGATAGAAAGCAAACTGGGAGCTCGTTGATTTTTTTATATATTATTGTACTTATATATACTAACAGAAAACCGTTTGAATTAGACAGGATCAAGCCGTAGTTTATTTATAAAAAAAATTTTAATATTGCCTCCTGGCGCGTACTCATACTAATATTCAAACGTATCAAAATACAAGAAAGCAAACTCGGATCATGTTCATATTTTTACTATATATTCTTATAATATCAAGCAACTCAAAACTATTTGAATCTCGTAGAATCAAAGCATAGAATAATTGTAAAAAATTTTTTATTATACTCATACTAGCCCATACTAGTTTCTATGAAAATTTTTAAGTCCATAAAAACTATAGAAAGCAAACTAGGAGCTCCTTGATTTTTTTATATATTATTGTACTTATATACACTAATAGAAAACCGTTTGAATTAGACAGGATCAAGCCGTAGTTTATTTGTAAAAAAATTTTTAATATTGCTTCCTGGCGCGTACTCATACTAATATTCAAACGTATGAAAATACGAGAAAGCAAACTCAGATCATGTTGATATTTTTACTATATATTCTTTTCATATCAAGCAACTCAAAAATATTTGAATCTCGTAGGATCAAGGCATAGAATAGTTGTAAAATTTTTTTTAATATTCTCATACTCGCCTATACTAGTTTCTATTAAAAATTTAAAGTCTATGAAAACGATAGAAAGCAAACTGGGAGCTCGTTGATTTTTTTATATATTATCGTACTTATATATACTAAGCGAAAACCGTTTGAATTAGACAGGATCAAGCCTTAGTTTATTTGTAAAAAAACTTTTAATATTGCCTCCTGGCGCGTACTCATACTAACATTCAAACGTATGAAAATACAAGAAAGCAAACTCAGATCATGTTGATATTTTTACTATATATTCTTTTAATATCAAGCAACTCAAAAATATTTGAATCTCGTAGGATCAAGGCATAGAATAGTTGTAAAATTTTTTTTAATATTCTCATACTTGCCTATACTAGTTTCTATCAAAAATTTAAACTCTATGAAAACGATAGAAAGCAAACTTCGAGCTCGTTGATTTTTTTATATATTATTGTACTTATATATACTAACAGAAAACCGTTTGAATTAGACAGGATCAAGCCGTAGTTTATTTGTAAAAAAAATTTTAATATTGCCTCCTGGCGCGTACTCATACTAATATTCAAACGTATCAAAATACAAGAAAGCAAACTCGGATCATGTTCATATTTTTACTATATAGTATTATATAGTCAAGACATAGAATAGTTGTTCTCATACATACATATATGTATATACTAACCAAACACCGTCTATCTCATAACAGTAATTGCTGTACAGCATTCGAAACGTCGGGAACCAAAAATGGAAATAAATCCGTGAAAAGAACCGAAAAGATCTAAGAAAGTATACGAATTAGACAGGATAAAGCCACCGTTAGTCGACTACGATCATTGAACAACTCCAAAAACTGATACAAGCAAACTGGGATGTGGTAACAGGGTGTGGTAAAAATATATTATCTGTTTAACAATCGACTTTGCGGCAATATTAAAAGTTAATTTTAAACAATAGACGACGGATTATAGGGTACCATAAAATACCTGGTCCACAAAACTAAACAATAAAAACTTTTTAACAAAAAAATAAAAACCAACTTCAAACAAAAGCACTAAAAAGTAAAAAATAACTGATTGGTAGTTTTCATTTACTATAAATACCTAATCAAATATTTTCGAAGTCGGTGTGCTTTGCTTTGTATGGGCTGGCACCGATTTCGAAAATATTTGATTACGTAAGTATTTAATAGGTAGGCTTTAATTACTTAGCCAAAGCACACCGACTTATTACAATATTTAATAAAAATGTCTACTATTAGAATATTTAATAAAAGTATCAGCGTGATCTGAGTTTGCTTTCTCGTATTTTGATACGTTTGAATGTTAGTATGAAAACGCGCCAGGAGGCAATATTAAAATTTTTTTTACAAATAAACTACGGCTTGATCCTGTCTAATTCAAACGGTTTTTTGTTAGTATATATAAGTACAATAATATATAAAAAAAACAACGAGCTCCCAGTTTGCTTTCTATCGTTTTCATAGACTTTAAATTTTTGATAGAAACTAGTATGGGCTAGTATGAGTATATTAAAAAATTTTTTACAATTATTCTATGCTTTGATTCTACGAGATTCAAATAGTTTTGAGTTGCTTGATATTATAAGAATATATAGTAAAAATATGAACATGATCCGAGTTTGCTTTCTTGTATTTTGATACGTTTGAATATTAGTATGAGTACGCGCCAGGAGGCAATATTAAAATTTTTTTTACAAATAAACTACGGCTTGATCCTGTCTAATTCAAACGGTTTTCTGTTAGTATATATAAGTACAATAATATATAAAAAAATCAACGAGCTCCCAGTTTGCTTTCTATCGTTTTCATAGACTTTAAATTTTTGATAGAAACTAGTATAGGCGAGTATGAGAATATAAAAAAAATTTTACAACTATTCTATGCCTTGATCCTACGAGATTCAAATATTTTTGAGTTGCTTGATATTAAAAGATATATAATAAAAATATCAACATGATCTGAGTTTGCTTTCTTGTATTTTCATACGTTTGAATGTTAGTATGAGTACGCGCCAGGAGGCAATATTAAAAATTTTTTCTATGCCTTGATCCTACGAGATTCAAATAGTTTTGAGTTGCTTGATATTATAAGAATATATAGTAAAAATATGAACATGATCCGAGTTTGCTTTCTTGTATTTTGATACGTTTGAATATTAGTATGAGTACGCGCCAGGAGGCAATATTAAAAATTTTTTTACAAATAAACTAAGGCTTGATCCTGTCTAATTCAAACGGTTTTCTGTTAGTATATATAAGTACAACAATATATAAAAAAATCAACGAGCTCCCAGTTTGCTTTCTATCGTTTTCATAGACTTTAAATTTTTGATAGAAACTAGTATAGGCGAGTATGAGAATATTAAAAAATTTTTTACAACTATTCTATGCCTTGATCCTACGAGATTCAAATATTTTTTAGGTTACTTGATATGAAAAGAATATATAGTAAAAATATCAACATGATCTGAGTTTGCTTTCTTGTATTTTCATACGTTTGAATGTTAGTATGAGTACGCGCCAGGAGGCAATATTAAAAATTTTTTTACAAATAAACTAAGGCTTGATCCTGTCTAATTCAAACGGTTTTCGCTTAGTATATATAAGTACGATAATATATAAAAAAACAACGAGCTCCCAGTTTGCTTTCTATCGTTTTCATAGACTTTAAATTTTTGATAGAAACTAGTATGGGCTAGTATGAGTATATTAAAAAATTTTTACAATTATTCTATGCTTTGATTCTACGAGATTCAAATAGTTTTGAGTTGCTTGATATTATAAGAATATATAGTAAAAATATGAACATGATCCGAGTTTGCTTTCTTGTATTTTGATACGTTTGAATATTAGTATGAGTACGCGCCAGGAGGCAATATTAAAATTTTTTTTACAAATAAACTACGGCTTGATCCTGTCTAATTCAAACGGTTTTCTGTTAGTATATATAAGTACAATAATATATAAAAAAATCAACGAGCTCCCAGTTTGCTTTCTATCGTTTTCATAGACTTTAAATTTTTGATAGAAACTAGTATAGGCGAGTATGAGAATATAAAAAAAATTTTACAACTATTCTATGCCTTGATCCTACGAGATTCAAATATTTTTGAGTTGCTTGATATTAAAAGAATATATAATAAAAATATCAACATGATCTGAGTTTGCTTTCTTGTATTTTCATACGTTTGAATGTTAGTATGAGTACGCGCCAGGAGGCAATATTAAAAAATTTTTCTATGCCTTGATCCTACGAGATTCAAATAGTTTTGAGTTGCTTGATATTATAAGAATATATAGTAAAAATATGAACATGATCCGAGTTTGCTTTCTTGTATTTTGATACGTTTGAATATTAGTATGAGTACGCGCCAGGAGGCAATATTAAAATTTTTTTTACAAATAAACTACGGCTTGATCCTGTCTAATTCAAACGGTTTTCTGTTAGTATATATAAGTACAATAATATATAAAAAAATCAACGAGCTCCCAGTTTGCTTTCTATCGTTTTCATAGACTTTAAATTTTTGATAGAAACTAGTATAGGCGAGTATGAGAATATTAAAAAAATTTTTTACAACTATTCTATGCCTTGATCCTACGAGATTCAAATATTTTTTAGGTTACTTGATATGAAAAGAATATATAGTAAAAATATCAACATGATCTGAGTTTGCTTTCTTGTATTTTCATACGTTTGAATGTTAGTATGAGTACGCGCCAGGAGGCAATATTAAAAATTTTTTTACAAATAAACTAAGGCTTGATCCTGTCTAATTCAAACGGTTTTCGCTTAGTATATATAAGTACGATAATATATAAAAAAAACAACGAGCTCCCAGTTTGCTTTCTATCGTTTTCATAGACTTTAAATTTTTGATAGAAACTAGTATGGGCTAGTATGAGTATATTAAAAAAAATTTTACAATTATTCTATGCCTTGATCCTACGAGATTCAAATATTTTTGAGTTGCTTGATATTAAAAGAATATATAGTAAAAATATCAACATGATCTGAGTTTGCTTTCTTGTATTTTCATACGTTTGAATGTTAGTATGAGTACGCGCCAGGAGGCAATATTAAATTTTTTTTTACAAATAAACTAAGGCTTGATCCTGTCTAATTCAAACGGTTTTCGCTTAGTATATATAAGTACGATAATATATAAAAAAATCAACGAGCTCCCAGTTTGCTTTCTATCGTTTTCATAGACTTTAAATTTTTGATAGAAACTAGTATAGGCGAGTATGAGAATATTAAAAAAATTTTTACAACTATTCTATGCCTTGATCCTACGAGATTCAAATATTTTTGAGTTGCTTGATATGAAAAGAATATATAGTAAAAATATCAACATGATCTGAGTTTGCTTTCTCGTATTTTCATACGTTTGAATATTAGTATGAGTACGCGCCAGGAAGCAATATTAAAAAATTTTTTACAAATAAACTACGGCTTGATCCTGTCTAATTCAAACGGTTTTCTATTAGTGTATATAAGTACAATAATATATAAAAAAATCAAGGAGCTCCTAGTTTGCTTTCTATAGTTTTTATGGACTTAAAAATTTTCATAGAAACTAGTATGGGCTAGTATGAGTATAATAAAAAAAATTTTACAATTATTGTATGCTTTGATTCTACGAGATTCAAATAGTTTTGAGTTGCTTGATATTATAAGAATATATAGTAAAAATATGAACATGATCCGAGTTTGCTTTCTTGTATTTTGATACGTTTGAATATAAGTATGAGTACGCGCCAGGAGGCAATATTAAAATTTTTTTTACAAATAAACTACGGCTTGATCCTGTCTAATTCAAACGGTTTTCTGTTAGTATATATAAGTACAATAATATATAAAAAAATCAACGAGCTCCCAGTTTGCTTTCTATCGTTTTCATAGACTTTAAATTTTTGATAGAAACTAGTATAGGCGAGTATGAGAATATTAAAAAATTTTTACAACTATTCTATGCCTTGATCCTACGAGATTCAAATATTTTTGAGTTGCTTGATATGAAAAGAATATATAGTAAAAATATCAACATGATCTGAGTTTTCATTTGCTTAGTTTCACCTCCTTGCACGCTTTTCGAAAGCACATGTTACGTCGGTTTTACGCTTGATTTATCACCGCGAGTGTCTGTCTTCATCCTAGATTACTTGAAAATGACAATAAACGTTTATATGCTCTTAGGTAAAACAATAGAGCCACCACTGAAATCCAACATAGACGGTGCACTCACCAGGCTACAAGATGTAGGGGCGTTAGACAAGGCTTTCTCTTTGACCGCACTCGGACGCCATCTTGCGGAGCTTCCGGTGGACGTGCGGATAGGGAAGTTGATGTTGTTTGGTGCCATCTTCTGTTGTGTCGACTCTGCCTTGACCATGGCAGCGTTTCTAAGTCATAAGAGCCCGTTTGTTGCGCCTTTTGGCAAGAAGGTATGTTGATATAACCACAGTATTCAGACTATGGAATAATATAGACAGTGTCATAGAACTAAACATGAAGCCAAATAATAATGTTTTAAAATAGTTTAAAATATTAATGGAATATTCATTACTGTGATAAATAAATAAATGGTTAGTAAATAAAAATAGCTAAGTGATTTTATTATAATAAAGAATAAAATAAGCTACTATTATTTTATTATGTTTAAACATGTGTAAAGATAAAATATTGTAAGGTACTTTGGTGCCATTTTTCAATTTTTTGAATTCTTTTTGTTAATTGTACCCACAACAAAAGACAGCCTACTCAGGCTGTCTGTAACAACTATATAATAATACCTTTGAGACATCTAATACCGCAGTCTCTCCCGTGACCATGATTGCTGTAAAGCATTCGAAACGTCGGGAACCAAAAATCAAAATAAATTCGCGAAAAAATCCGAAAAGATAGTTTTATTTAAAATGTCAAGTATTCGCGTAAATCTAAGAAAGTATTAACTACTACTATTATGATATCACTCTTTCGCGGGACGAGAAACAATGCTTAAAAAAATATTCATCATTATTCATATTTTATTTTCAAAATTTGTAAATGAACGAGTAATAACAATATAAAATCAATTATATTTTACACTCGGATTAATATATAACACACATTAAAAATCTTCTAAGAACCTAGGACATGGTATTGTTGTTTAAATAAATTCTTAGTTATTTTATAGATATGAAATTTAAATAATATTTCTCTGTTTTTTCTTCATTTTCAGTCTGAAGCTGACGCAAAAAGGAGAGAATTTGCCTGCGCCAATAGTGACCAGTTAACAACTTTAAGAGCTTATAGGGTATGTTTTATATTTACTATATTTTCTAGCAAAAATTTTGTTTAGTTGTTTATTTATTTTCATAGTTTTTTTAAGCTCAATTTCAAGTGTTTGTGTGATTATTAAAAAAACTACAAAAAAAAAACAATATTTTTTATACATAAAAATATGGTATAACAAAAACTAATTTCCCGAATATTTTCGTCATAATTAAAAGAAAAATAAAAATTAATAAATAATCATTCTTTTTCTTTCAGAAATGGCAAGAGAGATTAAAATCAAGTACACACGCGGCTTTAGTATTTGCAAATGAACACTTCCTCTCACACAAAACGTTAATGATGTTAGCGGACATCAAACACCAGTTGCTGGGCTTACTCGCTTCGATAGGGTTCGTACCCGCCATGCCTTCTTTGAGGAAGAAAATGAGGAAAGACTCTGTTGCTGCCCTAACTGGTGACGAGGCGAGTATTTTACAAGCTTTTATTTAACTTGCAATGTTTGTTTGTTTGGTTCAAATCATGCGAAGGAATTTTAAAAAAATTATCATCAATTTGTTGAGTTGAAATTTTGCTTATATATTTAGTTTGGATGACAAAGCATGGTTAGTGAAGTGACAGAATGGAGGACTCCCAAACATAGCGGACTATGTTTCTTTTTATGTACCTCTATGATATGGATATCAAATGAAAGGGTTTCTGAGAATAATACGAATCTAATAAAAACTAAAATATATAATAAGAGTAAAAAACATTTTTTAAAACAAGTTTTATTTAAATGCTCTAAAAAGAAAAAAAAACATTAAATTAAATCAAACCTAATAAAAATTTATTACATTACACTATTTATATGATATAAAATCTTGTCGTGAGATTTATGTTTTAAATATTATATAGTAAATAATAATAATTCTTTAAATTTTAAATTTCAGTTGAATTTAAATGGAAATAATGATAAGTTATTGGCAGCCATCTTGTGTGCAGCGCTATATCCAAATGTTGTTAAGGTAAATATAGGTTAATTATATTATTACACTATTTAATTAATATTATATATAAAAATTTACCTTTAGCTTGGGGAGATGAGATATCTTCTCGCGGTAAAAAGTATCCTAAATGTAGACCCGGATAACCAGCTATCATCATACAAAATTTCATTAAAAGTTGTCCAGAGTTGTTCTTGATGTGGTCACAGACAGACAGGCACAAAAATTCTAAAAACTAAAGATTCGGCCACTGTATCGATAATAAAGTCTATTTCGATAAGATTTTCCGAAAAATATTGAATGTACAAATTCGGCTTAGTTAGAATTTTATTATATGTATAGATCTTCATAACTACTATTTTCCATTCATAAACTTCCACCATGTACTAATGGAATTTTTAATTTGTCTGGCGGCCATTTTGAAATTCGCCATCTTGTTTTTTTATTTATTGTTATTATTGTATAGCGGCAATAGAAATACACACTCTGTGAAAACTCTACGATTCCTGAGATGCAACCCTCTAACAGACAGATGGTGGCTTAGGGTCTCGTAGGCATCTTTCGGGTACGGAACCATTCAAAATGATCTAAAGTTTAAATGTTTTAGATTTAGTATTATTAGAAAGTAGTTTAAAGTATAGTGAGTACTTTTAATTGAGTTTTATTTAGGTGATTATTTACTTTAATAACAAATGTAGCTAACAAGCATCTAAATAGACTAGGCATTAATATAGATTTTTTCAACATTGCAGGTATTAACCCCAGAGAAATCATTCCACATGCAAGCCGGAGGAGCGATACCAAGGCAACCAACACCAGATGAACTAAAATTCAAGACTAAATCGGATGGCTATGTAGCATTACATCCCTCCTCGGTGAACTCCACAATAGGCCACTACACCAGCCCCTACCTGGTGTACCAGGAGAAGGTGAAAACGTCCAGGGTGTTCATTCGGGAATGTTCCATGGTGCCGCAGTTGCCGTTGGTACTGTTTTCAGGTAATTGTTTTGTATGTAATAAATAAATATATAGGGACATTGACACACAGTGCCATCTAGTACCATGGTAAGCTACGAGCCTTGTGTTGTAGGTACCAGATAGTTGATACACTACACATATATAACTTTAAATATTCGTATTCATCACACAAATGTATGCTCCCAACCGGACTTGTACCCGGGACCGCTGGCAGAGCAAGTAGTTGAGCCAAACGTGTTGTCAATGTGAATAGATAGATTTGTTTTTTCTTTATGTACATTAATTTTTTTGAATAAAATATTCTTCAATTAACACTTGTGCTTACTACTTACCATCGCTTTACTCGGGTGCGTTCCTAGAAGTCTTTTGTATTTATGATATTACTAGCGACTCACCCTCGCTGTACCCGGGTTCGTCCTTAGATACGTTTGAACGATTAGTATGGATTAGATAAGACTATATATTATATAAATAACAACTTATATAATAAACTATAAAATATAAACTTATAAAATATGTAAGGTATGATAAGTTGTTTTAGGTTGTATTATAACGTGCTTTCCTGCGGGAATGAGATAATCTCCCGCGGTAAAAAGTAGCCTATGTCACTCCAGCTCATCAACTATCCCCACACAAACGTGAAAAAAGGACAAACATACAAATACACTTTTACATTTATAATATTAGTATGGATATGGATATACTAGTAGAGTTTTAATATTGTCACTAGTCTGTTACTCCACGTCAGTTTTCTGTGTACCTAGTAAATTTTACTAGATAATACACATACAAGTTATCTTTCAATACTTGTGATTAATTTCGTTTGTTGATACAATTTTCGGAAATGTGTCAAATACGTAGGACGTGCATTCGAAACCAAAGTTATAATAAAAATAAACATTTTTGTATAAGACCTTATAAAGCAAATTTTAAAATTTAAATTTGCTTGTAGGTTGTACGCTAGCGGTCGAGCTACATAACGGCAGGTTCATAGTGTCGTTGGAAGATGGATGGATTATGTTCCAAGTTGAGAAACATGAGGTTTGTGTTTCTATTTACAATTTACCTCTTTTGACCTACTTTAAAAAAGAAGTAGTTAATTCAGATATGTTCTTTATGGATTTTAAAATTTCAACTTAATCAATTTATATAATAATTATGTATTCGCCAATGGGGAATGAACGTCATGATAATTTTTTAAATTAAAGCTTTCACATAGGTTGGTTTTATATAGACATTAATTAAAAAATATTCACAAAAGTGAAATATTTAATTTTCAAATAATTTTATAGTCAATGTACCTACATTTTAAAGATATTTATTAAAGGAGGTCTTACATAGATAAAAATAGCATTACTGTGCTGCTGTTATATTTTAAAATTGTTGTTTTCTTAACTCAAGTATTACAGCTTACATCTATACCTAATAACTTTTAAACAGGTTATTATTACAGTAAATGTAGTTTAAAAAAAATGGAAAAATAATATCTAAATTTTTTCCAGGTGGCTGAAATGCTAAAAACAATTCGAGTGGAACTTATTAATCTTCTAGAAGAGAAAATAAACGATCCCTCCCTAAATCTGCTCCACTATGAGAAAGGGAATAGGATAATTAAAACAATTGTTCAAATAATAACTAAAGATTAAAGTAACTTTCATGTTAACTATTACTATTAAAATATTATTTATTTGTAATTTGTAATATATTATATGTATGTATGTATATTGTTTTATGAGTAAGTCATATAACTGTCCACTTTTGTATTATAATAAAAAGATATGGCGGTCTACTTAATAAACAATTTTTCTAAAGAACCTAAAAACCCCATTAATTAATACTTTCTTAGATTTACGCGAATATTTGACATTTTAAATAAAACTATCTTTTCGGATTTTGTCGCGGATTGATTTGCATTTTTGTTTCCCGACGTTTCGAATGCTTTACAGCATCCATGGTCACGGGAGAGATTGTCTCTCTCAAGACAGTTTTATTTAAAACCCCATTAATTTTCAATTAACTATTAAAGTTATATATTTAGTTATTTTTTTTGTTTAGAGTGAAATTAATAAAGTTAGACAATTGAATTTGCTTATATGTATGTGACGTCACGATTGCTATTGCCATATAAAATGTATGGCGGTACTCATAGAATGTATGGTGATGTCAAGTACTGAATTCAGCTCATATAACATCCCATATCTTTTGAATATTCGTCGCCGGATATCCGGTATCCAGTCTTACAGCTAGCCGGATATCCGGTATCCGGCCAAACTATCCTTTTCTTGACTAATCATGAGTCTTATGTCATCGATCAAAAAAGTACTATGTATATACATCAAAATACATACAATTTTATGAAAAAGTTCTCTTAAAACTGTTTAGGTAATTATTCTAGTTGAAATAAATATACGACAATGTAAATTGAACCTTAAATGCAATACTTAAAGTTGTTTTCACAAAAAAAATTAAAAGTGCGCTTAAATGTTCAAATGAGCGCTCGTTCGGCGAGGACATTTTTGTCGCTGATTGTGTATCTAGTACTTTTTTGGTCGATGGTCTATTTAAATGTGTGTATATGTATATATATATATATATATTTATGTATACTTACAGCATTTCATTTTAGGAACCACTATATTTTACGGCAGCAAAAATTAATAAAGTAAAATATTTAAACGTATATTATTTTTATTATATTATCTAGCGACTTAACCTCGCTTCACTCCTGCTTCTAATTCTTTTTCTAAAATAAAAGTAGTCTAAGTTACTCCTTATAACATCAGCTATCGGCCAGTGAAACTCTCGTCAAAATCGGTACAGCAGTTTCGGAGATTAGCTGGAACAAACAGACACAAAAATAAATAAAAAATGTATTTATGTTATAAGTATCGTATATACTTATTTCAAAATGCATTTAGCAAAAAGCTGTTATTTTGACGTTACAAACAGTCTCTTCAATTTTATACATCTGTATAGATTAAAAGTATCGGTAATAAAGAAGATAACCGTACTTAAGTATAGAGACGCGATAAAAGTATGGCATTCCAGTGAAATGTAGAGATAATGTTACCGTTATGCGGACTGTATTGAGCCATTTTTAGCGTCCCACTGCTGGGTACGGGCCTCCCTTCAATACGAAGGGGGTCAGGCCATAGTCCACCACGCTGGCCAAGTGCGGGTTGATGGACTTCACATGTCTTTCGAAAACTTGCTAGGTTTTCTTAGACATGCAAGTTTCCTCGCGATGTGTTCCTTCGCCGTAAGGCAAGTGGTAAACATGTTAAAAATAATTCGCACATGAAAATATCAGAGGTGCGAGACCCGGAATTTTAACCCGCTTCACTTGGCTTCCCAAGCGAGCGCGTTACCACTGGGCTACCACGGCCTTTTCCTGACAGTAACATTCGATATTTGGCAAGAATTACTTAGTTAAAATGTTGATATTATTATAATAAGGTTATTCACACGAGGATTTTTTAACGCGTCTACGCGTGTTTGTCACGTTTTTGTATTGTGACGAACGCAAGTTATCTGCGTTTTTAAATTTATCAGTAGTGTACATTGGCCTTTAAAAAACGAAATTTTATATACATATTTATAACTAAATTGATCATTTTTATATACTCTATCTGTTACTGAACCAATTACTGTAAAATACCATTTTGTTAGAAAGAGAAATAATTTAATGCATTAATAATAACTATTTAGTATCTATTTTTAAAATAACGACTGTTACTGTATTTTTTTATATATTTATATATACATATTATAAAATCTGTAACTTTCTATTTATTGCATACCTATATTATGTTTTTTAAACAATAAAAAGTACGTAGAAAATTGTAAACTCGAATTTTTTTATAGGTTATCTACAGTAATGCCTAATAAAAATATTTTAAATTATAATTCACGGGTATAACATAATATATTATATTTATTTGTAAAAAGTGTGAAAATGATGAAATAATTATGTTTTATTTAATAAAAATTTAATCTATTGAACTAATATTGCCCTTTTGTAACAAGCACTAAGAAATGATGTTTTGTTTAAACATAAGCTATTGTGATAATTCAATTGAATAATAAATATATTTTTGTTGAAATAGTATTTTTTATACCTAAAAATATCCCTACATATTATTACATTTTTTTCATACTAAATGATGAAAGATGCAAAGACTTGCAAAGTTACCAAAGGTCTGGGTTCCTTTTAATTTAACTACACACAAAATAATAATTCAACCCTTCTGACGTGAAACTCTTGGGTCAAATTTTACCCATGCGTAGGGGATTTAGGTCATAGTCCATGCTGGGTTGAATTTCATACGTCATTTAACAAAGGTATCTTACGTGAAAGATACCTTTACACAGGAGGTATACAAGGCTCAAGTCAACAAGTGCGTGCCAAAAGAATTATCGCTATTACCGTCCGTTGGAACAGTCAACCGACACTGCTGGAGGTAGTTCAAGGCACAAGCCTGACCGCTTAACGTGTTCACTGGGGCATAAGGATATACCACCAACTCTCGAACTTTGGTATATACTAGAAAAAAATTCTTAAAAAACTAACTCTTAGACTGACTCAAGATTCGAACCTAGGTCCGGCCGTTTAAGTCACTAAACGTAGCACTTATGTACCTAAATCTTATACAAAATAAATCATGACAGTTTTCACGTAATATATTAAAACTTATTTTTACAACCATATTCACACAAAGAAAATGGGGAATCAATCAAATTCGACCTTAAACATATCGCTTCCTTACCAAATATTTTGGTTAAACAAATTGACGCATTGATGTATGGTTACCATCAATCAGATCGGACAAAAAGGTACAAACGCTAACGACCGTCGGTCACAGGCGTCGATATTTCAACTGGAATAAAAAATTGGAGCTATTCTCGACCGATCAGAGATCCAATAGTGTGCGGTCGTAAAACGCACGTGTTGTGGGGTACATGTGTATAGGGCAAAGTTTCGGTTAGGTCCGAGTTGGCTGGTTGGGACTATGTGGATGCGATGGGCGATGGCAATTGTAATGAGATATTTTTATAGTTGAACCCGATTTCAGTATAAAATATAATATATATTAGTGCTTTTAAGTATAGGTTTATACAGATACTTAATACAGTAAGTTTACGAGCAATTAGTATACCTATATAAAATTAATTTCGTGTATCCGGATAGGGTTCTAACGACTTAGATCAATTATGTATTTCGAAAAAAAACCTTATGGTTTTGCTTTTTAAGTGTCTTCTTTTAAAGAAACTGCAATTTTTATACCTGTTCCGAAAAACGCCGAGAGAAGCTTGGTCGTCCGCTAAATACAAGTTATGTACATACAATCATTTCGATATTATTTTAGTAGGTAAAATGAAGGATTCGAAATGACATATTTTCTATAATATAATTATATTTTTTTACATTTTATATTTATTATTTTTACATATTATATTTTTTTACTAATGAAAATCACTGAAAATTAAATGGATAATGAACCTAAATTACTTCTGAATAGGAAACAAATATCTTCGATCAACAATACTACGTTGATAGAAGACAAATATCACAGAGCACAATACTACAAATATGATAGGCAGCATTAGCCCGAAAGCTAATAAGCGCCATCTATTATTGTGTAGGTATAATATAAATAATATATTTCAATCTTCGATAGGTGGCGTTGTGCTTTGTAATATTTCAATAAGATCGATTCCTATTGGAATAATAAATTATAATCTAAATAATCATGTATTTGCAAATAAGAAAAAAGATTTAAAAATAGTTCTTATAAGATGTTACTTTAATTAAGTATATAAGTGATTATATAATAATTTGTAAGTAAATATGTGTATTTATTTAATTAATTTTAGTTAGGTAAATTTTTTAAGCTTAAGCCAATATATTTTTCAATATCAATAATTCTAAAATAATGGAAATAAAAATTGTTTACATTATTTAAACAGAAAACAGATATATATATATATATATATATATATATATATATATATATATATATATATATATATATATATTATATATATATGTGTATGTATCTAATTGTATATAATTCAATTTACTAAATCCCACTTAGCAAATTAGTTAAATAAATACGTATAAAATTGCAACTCAACTTATACTTTTACAATTACTTTTACTTTTATTATGTTAGCAACACATTACACAGTGAAACAAAAATAACGACAATCAGTTGCTGCGTTAAAGTAGGACAAACAAACAAACATTATCTCATTTACAATATTTTAATATTGTAAATGAGACTTACGTAAGGACAATAAACAATAAAAATATAATGAAACTTATAATCAAAATAAAAATATTTCGCTTATCCACATAAAACAAACAGGATCGCGCCGCCCGGCCATTTTGAATCGCGTCACGTCCGAGCCGGCGCGTAATTGGTGCCATTTACCGTCCGCCGCCGCTTCGTTACACGTTCAGTCCTACGTCCGTTGCAAACCAATGTCAGCCTGTTACTTTAATATCGGTAAGGGTTGGCTAGACCCTAATAAGTTCTAAATTGTAGGCTGGTTCTAGCTTAAGTTATTTAATAAATTAATTATTATTCTGTAACTAGAGACATGCTCTCGCTCGGCTGCACCCCTACGTGTTTAAGAGTAG